AAGGATGCCACGACCAATAGCGCCGGAATCATTAGGTTCCCGTTTACAATCAATTGTGGTGATTACGCACATAGAAGCTTTAACCCAGTGACGAGACTAAGGGTTAGCAAGTACTATACACAATGAAGAATGTATAGTAGCGTAGCAAACGCACGAATATCATCACAGAAATGCTTTAAAGATACAACAAAAACAATGAACATAATACTTTTAGCATTACAGACACTAATCATGGCTTGTGTGCAACTTCATGGAAACATGGGAGCTTAAAAGTGCAACGTGTATAAGGTGTAGAACATATATACGGAATGGGCATAGATCGAATATGTTATATGGAAGTTCAAGGCGTTGATTGCACTGAGATATACAAAACCTATTTCAACGGCTTTATTTTGAAATTTTCTGGCACGGCAAAATCGTTACGGTGAAGATTTGTAGAGGGTAGTTGATCGATGAATGAGCCTTATCGCTCAATCTGTATAATATTGATTTATATTACTGAATTCTTAGATGCGCATATTGAACAACAATTGATTAGAAGTATCTTGCGCAAACAAAAACTACGCCCCCGGCATATGTGATTATCAGTGGTAATTTTAGGGACAGGCTTCAAGTTTATCTTCGCCTATAGATTAATGAATATACGTGTTGAACATTTACGAAAGTGATAAAACCCGGCGGAGAAGCCGCAGGGACCGAAAGAATATAATCATAGGGGCAATTTACTTGTCTGTATTCAGACATTCGGGCCTATTGATTATTTTGTATAGGGTCTCAAATGGGCAAAACCCATTCCAGTCGGAAAAAAAGGCGTCACCGACGGTTTTTGGCGACGGACAAAAAATCGGCGACAATGTCGACAGGGAAGTAGAAAAGCTTTTAAATACGCTTTAAGTAATAAAGTGATAATTATTATTGTATATTGATATATATAAATGTAAATCAAACACAGAATATAGCGGAATTGGTCTAGTGGTATGATTGACCCTTAGGGTGGGTCAGGCCCCACGTTCGATTCGTGGATTCCGCCAATTTTTCTAGCAAGAAAACTAAAGTTGTTGGGATCCATTGTTCATATATAAAGCATAGCGTAGCACATATTTAAAACATCCATTACTTCCAATGATGCATATTCAGTGATAAACTTGCACTTTATGGATATTAATTAATACGGTATCGCTATGGCATATACTTCATAAATATAGGAAAAAACATGCGCGAGCTATTAATACGTATTGGAACTCAAGCTTATCAAAGTTATAGAATTGCCACTGATTGATTATAAATTATGCTATCTTTTGTAGTGGTTCGTATTGATCTAAAATATTATCAAATTTAATATAACTGTCGAGGAAAATGGTTAGTTATTTAATTTGCTCACAGAAATCAGAAATAAATTGTTATATAGGTATACTTTTGAAATGTGTATCCGATGAAGCTAACCGGTGCAGCGCTTCACTAGTAATGAAGAGATACCCAGTTCGACTCTGGGCATTGGCTTTTTCTTGTTTTTAATTTATCAATATTTTAAGTTGCACGTTAAATATTATTGGGAGACGGAAGGAAAATCTTATCTAAAAAAATAAAGTATTGCCTCATTGAATGCGCCAGTAGTAATACAAGGGATCGGGGATGTCGGGGGATATTTTCCACCCCTCACTATTTTTCAGATAGTCGTAATATAAGGGATCGGCGATGTCGGGGGATATTTTCCACCCCTCACTATTTTTCAGATAGTCTGCTATCCTTATCCTCGTCAATTAACCCTAAAACCCCTAGAGAAGGGCAGTGATTCCTGGATTATAATTTATCGATTAGTGAGCGTATGAGAATTGACTTCGGCACTTGTTCCTTCAAAGTCGGGTGTCTCATGGTGAATATTTCCGATTTCAACTAATGCGACTACTAATATTCCGATTTTAACTAATGCGACTACTAATATTTCGATTTTAACTAATGCGACTACTAATATTTCGATTGTATATCAATCCTCAGTCTCTGGTTATGTAAACCGTAGTGCTGTATTATGTAAACCGTAGTACTGTAGCCCAGACGACCATATCCCACTTTTCGCCGTACATATTAACGACAAAAATAGGCGGAATCCACGAATCGAACGTGGGACCTGACCCACCCTAAGGGTCAATCATACCACTAGACCAATTCCGCTGGTGTATTTTAATTATTTTTGTTTTTATATATTGTTCTTAAATGTTCCACTTTCCACGTACAACTTTATTTTGGTTTAGCACGTGACAGTTGACACCGGTATATATTAATTACATTCGAAAATGTCAGTTCACACATAAAATACATCGAAGCTTATAACCTAAAATTGATATCGGTATTGGCATGCACCGGAGACGACACACGAATACGTGGTCGCTCTTAGTCGCAGATGTTTTAGTTATATAGTCATAAGACCATCGAATAATGGATACAACCGCTTATTGAATAGCTGCTCATTTGCACCTAGCTTTGACGCGAGCGTCACAGGTTGATTTCTTACACTTTAAAGGATGAAAAAAAAGAGGACGTACTGAACCTTCCCAGATCTCAAAAAATTCTCACCAACCCCAAAATTTCTATATGGTTACTTACAAACATGTCCAAAATGAAGCACCCAGATTGTCATAAAAGAACACATAATGCAAGGCGGTTTGTACGTGGCACCACCATTCATCTGACACTCGGTGTACAGATTTGAAAGTCTGCAACTACACTGGCTGATCCACCTTGAACCATTTTAAAGGAAAATAGAATCAGTATTAGTCTCGAATATATGTAAAGGTACATTGGCGGTGGATATATATCCGTCTCAATCTAGAAATGGTATTCAGTATAAGTTGAGATTCGGGGACTTACTATGGCCGCACAATCGCTGTACCCACTATGTAGCCCGATTCGTCCAAATATTTGACCAAAAGGTTGATATTGTACATTTTTCACACGTGGTAGTAAATTTCATGTTTATTTGGGTGAGTGTTTCAAAATTTCGAGATCTTCTGCTACACCTGTCCTCGCCGAATATTTATGGTTTATGGGTTTAGGTATGCTTTGGTACGTTTCCAGATTCACCCTTGACTTCGATATGAATATCTCTGCTGCGCCTCCGAGATAGAATCCATCAATCTTACACCCCAATTTAATATTTTGCGAAGACTAAGACCAAAAAATGAAAACCGCTTGAAAAACAACATTGGGAAAAAGAATATGTATATTTGATGCGATCGTTGCAGTATGCTAATTGTCAGAATGCATGCTAAAATACCATAACCAACACTTGTGCAGAGACAAGATTATAGTTTGAACGCGAATGGCGAATATAAAGTGGTTTTGAAGTATTCTAAAACATCGTGCTTCTACAGCCCTGCTATAGGCAAATACACAGGCATGATGGCATTTAACCTTATGGTAGTGAGAGGTGAGATGTACATATAGCATTCACTTTGGCACTCGAATACATGCATGAATATCTGCTATGTAATACCCGGCAACCCTATGACAATTACCAGTGTGCTTAAGGGTTTGCCGTCGCTTTCTACTTCTCAAAGAACTATGTGTGCGCTTAATTGAATGTGCGCAGGGGTTGGGACTTTTACTGCGTGAAAACTAGAGCGTTTAAAACAGGTGTTTGCTTGTATATTGCGTTGGGACTTTTACTGCGTGAAAACTAGAGCGTTTAAAACAGGTGTTTGCTTGGATATTGCATCATGGAATAATGGAATAGGATCACGATCTAGTGTGCTAAAAAATGTCGTTATAATGCTGTACAAGTTCTATTAGGCGGAGTGAAAAGACTACACTGAGCGAGCTTATAGGCTTCTGTATTTAAAGAGGATTATTGTATTTAAATTAGAAAAGTCTGAGATCCCACAAACTTGCTTGATGTCTCGATGGCATAATTACAAGCGAAGTTTAGTACATAGTCATTTTCTATTAGGAATCTACAATGTACTGTGCGTGTCCCGAAGCTATGGACTCTTGCCGCATTGGAGGTAGTAACGGAATTGTACGAAGTCGATGATAAAGCCACGTATTCTTGGGACACAGGAGGTATGCGAGGCATGCACCTTGAGTCTCCTGCGATTCTAGCTCTAATTGTATTTCTATCGGGTTCGTCTTCGCTAATGTTATTCCGTTTTGGATTTTTTGTATTAGAATCGATTGCCATAGGCAAATAGTATTAGTTTTGATGTTGATAGGATCACTTTTATTAAAAGATTAGCTACGGTTGGTGGGCTGGTCTGTTTTATTGTTGCTTAGCTCGCTAAATATTTATTAGCAGGTTTTGTTGCTTGTGCTGGAGCTTTATCTCTTGTGGTGAGTGTTTGTATCATTGTGCACAAGTCTATTGTAGTAGCGGTTGTGCAATTATGAATAGTGCTAGTGGTTGTGATATTAGTCGGATTAGAGCTAAGTAGAGCTTGGGATTTTGGTGGGGTTTCCAGTACTCTATTGAGCATATAGGTCAATACTCTAGAATATTCACGTGTTAAGGCTCTCGCATGTGTATTTTCCGAGCGGTTGCGAGCACCTTCGATCGCGATTGGATTTGGGACATTAGTAGGGTCTACAACCTTGTTGCTAATGCGGCAGCCACGAGCTAGCAGGGTCTGGGTTGGTTTACTTGCGAAGCGTGTAGGGAACACAAGTTCAACTACACTACGATATTTGTGAGTATGAAGCATGTAGTATTGAGATATATTCTAACATATGAAAGGTCCAGAGTCATTGTGAGAGATGCTTCCACTTCAGCTGAAACACACACACACTAGACGATGGTACGCTCCCTACAAATAGGCACCTCTCAAAATGACTAAGCCCTAAACTCTATACCCTTAAACCCTAAATAAATCGGCAAGAAAACCCAGCAAAATCCCAAACTCCACTTAACCCTAATCCGACAAATAGCACAACCACTAACACTACTGATAATTGCACAAACACACGCATTAGACGATGGTACGTTCCTTATAAACAAGTTTTGTATGTAGGATGGCCTATTTACAAGCGGAATTTATTAAGTATTTATATATATTAGGAATGTGCAAAGTACTGTGCGCGCCCCGAAACTCTGGACTCTTGTCGTATTGGAGGTATAAACAAGAACTGTACGGAGTCGATGATACTAAGTATACCTATTTATTTGTCACTTATTGTCATACAATCCACAGATACGGAAAGCCCGCAGTGGTATAGTACTTAACAAATGCACGGTGTGCATCCGCTAGTTATATAGTCTGACGGTTGTCCACTTCTAGCATATCAGAGCATGGCTTTGTACATATCGATCGCGGCTCCTAGTTTGTCAATCTCACCCTCCAATTGAGAGATCTGTAGGGAATACCCCATGGCAATTACCAAGTAGTTGTTTTCGTGTAGATGAAGAGTTAAGTAATGCATGGTACTTACAGCTGCCGAAGCGTACCATATCATGCAAGATTTAGTCTATAAGGTCACTAAAACTATCAAACAATTATGAATTCGCGCTTGTACAATTGGATGAACGGACAGACGGCACTTCCAAGGACGGATGTTGCACTACTTTAGCCGGGTAAAAATAATAATATACGCAATTGATACACGCACGTATACGGGATGGATATCTATATAAAGTCAAATGGAAAACTGCAGGACATAATACTCTCAACACGATTTTCACGGTTTATAAGACAAGCACCAAGTTTGCAAAAGATCTAGGCGTGCAATGATACACAAAGCACCACACTGTATCCACACGGAATACCACATACGATTGCTGTGAGGCGAATTCGACCATCCATTCACAACTCAATATTGCACTGAAAATACAAACCTTTTTCGTATGTGTGGCTCGAACGGCTTCGGGAACCTTCTGTTCATAGTCTTCTTTAAGTGTCGGGGCTTTTGCCTTTTCGAGGAAGGCTTGCGTTTCCGCCAACTTCTTCTCGTTCTTTTGAACCTCTTTCGCGGGGTCGATAAGACCCTGAGTAAAATGGTGACCAATATGAGTGGTAAATGGGAGTATTGTACAAATATAGACACTATAGAGAGTTAAGGTTAGATTTCTTCTGATGTGGAGTGCCCCGATGGAGTCGTTTTTTTCACAGTGTGCATTCACAAATACAGACGAATACAGGATAAATAAAACGTCAACGCAAAACGTAACAAACTTTGATACAATGAACAATGCAAGTATACGATTCTATAGATCTTGCGCTCGTATCAACCAATAGACGAACAAGACTTATGAGAACGCAGTTATGCACATGGTCGTAGGCACATACTTCACTTAGCTACACGCATGCACTCTACG